CCCCCCCTGCCCCCTCCCGCCCCGCCCCTTCGCTCACATATTACCTCTCCGAAGTCCCCAAGCCTCTCGGTGGGCTCAAACCAAAGATAGAGTAGCCGTAGCATTTACGAAAGAGCCGCCACAAACACCGCCTATGAGGAAGCCCCGTCCCCGAACCAAGGGCTCCTGGGAAATGTAGTGACCTCCAGCCCCGCTGCACCTGAGCTCGAGCACTGCCAGCCTGACGCAAACTACCATTCCCAGCAGCGTCACAGCAGGAGACGTTACCTAGGGGATTCCAACAGGGCGTCTTCCCATCCCGGGCGGCTGAGAGCGCCGGTCGTAGAAAAAAACCGTTCCTAGACTGAACTTCCGGCATAGACCGGAAGTCCCTCCACTATGAAAATTATGAAAGCATTTAGAGAGGGAAGCCGGCCAGGGTGGCAGAGGCCTAGCTAACTACTTTGGTGAGGCCTGTAAAGCTGGAGGGAGGGGACTTTTGCTTACCATAGGCCTATTTGGGAGGCTTGACTCTTTGTCGTTGTTTTTGCTTTGGCTGAGTATAACTTATAGGGTAAGGGGGGGAGGGGAGGCACTTGGCTGCACTAGTTTTAAAATTACTTTTTATTTTTCAATTACAGTTGACATACATTATTATATTAGTTTCACGTGAACACCCCAGTAATTAAACATTATATAACTTACTAAGTGATCATCCTGATCTCATTACCATACGTCACCATACATAGTTTTAGAATATTGACTATATTCCCTATGCTGTACTTTATATCCCCATGAATATTCTGTAACAACCGATTTGTACTTCGCTTTGTGGTAGGCAGTTAGACAGACATGAGCAGAGCAAGGCGGATGGGCCAGGTACAGAAGGTCACCAGGGTGGAAAGCCCTGGGTGCCTGGCAATGGGGAAAAGTAGGGACCTTTCCTCCCCCAGCTTATTACTGGTCATGCAGTTTGGACCCTCCCCTGACCTTTCCTCCTCTGGCATGTTGCTAGTCATACTGTTACTGTAATTAGCTAATTATTATGGGAAAGAAAGCAAAGGAAGGGTTAGACATGGTTAAGCATATTCAGCTGGGAAGCAGAGGCCTGTTTGCTTCACCAGGAAGCTAACAGCTTCACACCCCAAGGAATCTCAGCATTGTCCCTCGAAATAATACCAGACACAAGGAGTTCGAGGCCACCTGTCACTAATTGAGCCAAATTAAGCAGAGACAGGGTTGAATCATGTGAGCATTTATTCCAATAATGCCAACAAAATGGGAGAGCAGTCGGTCACCGTGGAAATTTTGCTCTGACTCCCCTTGCCACTTGGTTGATTATATACCAGTGAGGGAGAAGATAACTACATGCAGCTTCGAGCTACAAGTGTAAGAGAGACAGGGGCGGGGAGGGTGTGAAGTCTGGTCTTCAGGAGCTCAAAGTCCAATGACCAGGAGGCTAATCATCTGTGACGCTAGAAACAGTTCAGCCCATTCCTGGGACCAGAGAATGGTCAGTGTTCCTGAGGCAAACTCCTGGAGGGGGTAAGGGTCCTGGCACAGCAACCAAATCAAAGCATGTTCTGTCCTTGGTCTGTTCTCAAAATGTATGTCTTTCCTGAGTAATGGACCCACCAAGGCATCTTATCTTTTTATATCCTTGTTTCAGCCTCCAGTTTTCCAGGGTCTGTAAGAAAACTTATTATCTATAATTTGTAAGGTGAATAATTATTATATAGCTATGGCTCTATTTTTATTATGTGCCCTTCCCTACTATCACAAGGGAATTAACACCCCTCCCTTCCCCTCTCGGGTAACAGATTTTGGGGGTGGAGGACGTAGGGGAAGATAAGGACGTGTACAATCAATAAAGTCAAATGGCTTGTCAGGGCAGGGAACGGGGTGGGGGGCGTAGATAAGGACAAGCTCAACAAAGTCAAAATAACGCAGTGAAAGGTGGTTAACCATAAAGGACTCTCTGTCTAACCTGGGGAAAAGATTGTTGGCTAAGGAGTGGACCCCAGTGCAAGCCCTCAAAAACTTGGGAAGGTAATTGGTTCTTTTTAAAAGCTCCTGGTTAAGCCCAGCTGGGCATGGCTCAGCGGTTGAGCATCGACCTAGGATCCTAGGCAATCGGGGTTCGATTCCCGGTCAGGGCACATGCCCGGGTTGAGGGTTCGATCCCCAGTCGGGGGCCTGCAGGAGGCAGCCAATCAATGACTCATCATTGATGTTTCTCTCTCTCTGTCTCTCTCTCTCCTTCTCCTTTTCTCTCTCTGAAATCAATAAAGATATATTTAAAAAATAATAATAAAAAATAAATAAATAAAAGCTCCTGGTTAAAACCCCAGGGGAAAAAGAGCTCTTGCTTCTGTTCCCACTCTTGCACTTGATCTCTGTGATACACACCCCATTACCCTCACTTGCCCCATTCCTTCATGTTCCCTCCTACCTGGGAACACATGACCATGAGGGTCTACTGACTACCTGGGACCCTCAGAAGACTGCGTGGGTTCCAAAGGAATATAAAGCAAAAACTCTGTTTTCACCCTTCCTGAAAACACAGTTGGAGTTTTTCCATGGCAGAACAGAAGCAGATGGGACATTGAAAACCAGGGGCAGGGGAAGACTTCCCGAATAAATCTTGCCACAAGATCACAGTCTCTCATGGGTGACTCCTTGGAATTCTTTCCTCTTGATCCTATCGAAGAGCCTTTTTTCCACCTACAACAATAGGGTTAGACCCCCTTCTGCAGAACAAACAAGGGGGAGAAGAAGAGCCCTTAAGCATAAAGCCTCAGGACAATCAGGTTCAAACTCTCCATCAAATACATCTAGGCCTCAGTTGTATTTCAGCTCTGGGCCCACAAAAGCAGCAAAACCAGATAACCCCATGGTTGACATCTGGACCAGCTACATTGACTAATGACCGCCTGCCCTGGTGCTAGGGCAGTGGAGACCACAACCCTGAAAGAACACACCTGGAAAGCAGATGAATATTCTATTGAGATCTTCTCCTATAACATCCCCTAGAAACTCACCCTTAAAAGCCCTTAGGACAGAGGACCCAGGGCTCTCTCCCTCCAGGTAGCAAGCAGGTGACTTTCCCTTCCCACTTTTCTTCCCCTTAGGTGTATTACCTTTACCTTTCTCTCTCCTAAGCTCCAAGGACCCTTCTTTTGCCTCTGTAACTTGTTTTCTGAACCCATTTCTTTTTTGTGTTAATCCTCACCTGTGGATATTTTTTCCATTTATTTTTACTTATTTATATATTTTTATTTTTTTATCTTTACTGTTGAAAGTATTACAAATGTCCCCCTTTTCCCTCATTGATCCCCTACATCCTACAACCCCTGCCCCACCCCAGGCCTTCACCACACTATTGTCTGTGCCCATGGGTTATGCATATATGCATATAAGTTTTTAGGTTAATCACTCNTCTCTTCCCACCTACCCACCCCTGCCTTCACTCTGAGATTCATCAGTCCGTTCCGTGCTTCTATGTCTCTGGATCTATTTTGTTCATCAGTTTATTTTGTTCCTAAGATTCCACATATAAGATCATGTGATGCTTGTCTTCCTCTGAATGGCTTATTTTGCTTAGCATAATACTTTTCAGGTCCCCCCATGCTGTCTTATAGGGTAAGGGGTCCTTCTTTTTTACAGCTGCATAGTATTCCATGCTGTAAATGTCTGAGAAGATGCTTGATATGATTTCAATCTTCTTGAACCTGTAGGGATTTGTTTTGTATCCTAACATGTGGTCTGTCTTTGAGAATGTCCCATGTGCACTTGAGGAGATTGTATATTTTGCAGCTTTGGGGTGAAATATTCTGTGAAGATCAATTAAATCCATCTGATGTAGTGTGCCATTTAGAGTCACTGTTTCTGTGTTGACTTTTTGTCTGGAAGATCTATCCAGTGAAGTCAGTGTAGTGTTAAAGTCCATGACTATGACTGTATTATTGTTTATCTCTCCCTTAAAGTCCTTAAGGTTATTATTGATAGGTCCTTATTTACTGACATTCTAATTCTTTATGCCTATGTTTCTCTCTCTGTTTCTTCTTATTATAGCAGCCCCTTTAACATTTCCTGCAATGCTGGTTTGGTGGTGATAAACTCCTTTAGCCATTTTTTGTCTGGGAAGCTCTTTATTTCACCATCTATTTTGAAAGATAGCCTTGCTGGATAGAGTAGTCTTGGTTTCAGATCCTTGTTCTGCATTACCTTGAATACTTCATGCCATTCCCTTCTGGCCTGTAGAGTTTCTGATGAGAAGTCAGCTGATAACATTATGGGAGCTCCTTCGTAGGTAACAAACTGCTTTTCTCTTGCTGCCTTTAGGATTCCCTATTTGTCTTGAACTTTTGGCATTTTAATTATGCTGTGTCTGGTTGTGGGCCTCTTTGGATTCTTCTTGCTCAGGACTCTGTGCCTCCTGAACTTGTGTGACTTTTTCCTTGACCACGTTAGGAAAGTTTTCTGCCATTATTTCTTCAAACAGGTTCTCTAACCCTTGCTTACTTTTGAGCTCTT